TCAAACAACACATCCTTAAGCACTTAAAGTATTAATATTTTTGATTCTCTAGAAATGGTTTAGGATATACCTTATTTAGCAAAACATCGATTGCCGGGTCAGCTAGTCTTATATATAAAAATGGAGTTCTCTTTCAAATTTCTTAGTAGAACTCGAAAACGGCTAAACCGATTTGGCCAGTCTTAGTCTTTAAAAATTCGTGTCGATCCGGAGATGGTCGGAAAGGTGAGATACTATTTCAAAATCCGCGTAGAAACTTTACATTTTTAGTTTGAAATTTTTAGTAGAAGCGTAATTTGAATAAAACAATAGACGGTGGCTAATACGTGAAATAATTTTGACAGATGATGTTCAATTACGTTTAATAGGATGTTTTACGTGAATATTATTCAATTATGATTGAATTGTAGTAACTAGATTTGTTTGTAGTTTTATTTAAATACAAAAACGTTAGTAAACGGGCCGCAAGTGTTACTAGAGACTCAAAATATCAACTTTTTTGAAATGTTAATATGAAAACGCACTTTATGGCATATTTTTCTCAAACACGGTGCTCTTAAAGATCTCATTTGAATAATTATATACTCATTGTTATTTAAAAAACATTTTCTAGGTTCTATTGTTTTTCATTTATGTTATTTAAATTCAGAACCTAAATTTGGTATCGATCAAATGGACATTTTGTCGAATGACATTTTCCCAGTTATAATTTCCCAGAATTTATCGAAGAATAGATAGTAATATATGGAGGTCCGGGGCTAAAAAGATCCAGCACCGATGAGTCAAAAATCAGTGAAGTTAAGCATTGCTTAACAACAATATTTGAAAGCAAAGGAAAAAAGATGTATAACCAGCTATAACCTTGATTTGAAAACGGTAATCTTTGAAATGGGGGAGATAAACGGTAATCTTTGAAAATCCATCATAAAAGTATTTTCTTCTGTTGGTAGTTTTTTTTAGCATTAGTTAAAAATGTAATTATAATAAGGCTTTATACCTTTTTGCCACCTGCTCGTTTCAAGTTACCCCGCCTATAGGGTAAAAAGGTAATAACAAATTTTTCAAAGACATTAAAAAAGCACATTTCTACAATGATGAAGTAGAAGGCAGTTTTCTGAACGTAGTCAGATGATTGTTCATTCAATATGTGTTATTTGTTGTGATATAATTGTTATGGTTTTTTCAATATAGTTTATATTTGCTCCAAGTCAAATTGGACCTTTGTACCTGGCCCTGCTCTACATATATACTATGTATTAAATTTACTTTAATTCATCGAATATTACTTGAAACTTTTCAAAAAGCAGGTCAAAGAAGAAATACTTAATTCATTTTCTATCTCTCCTCGCAAAAATTTGAAAATTTTGTATAAGTTCAGTAGTATTATTTACAATTATACACAAAATCCAGAATCCAAAAAGAATCTGAAAAACTTGAAACGTAATCAATAAGTTGAAAGACCAAAAAAGACTTGGATGGATTATACTATACTATGTTTTCTATAGAAAGTGTATAAATCTTCCAGTTTTATTGTGTTGACAAAATATAGACAAACTAATGGGGTTTATTGTTTTTATAATACTTTATTGTATGGAGCATTGAAACACATCCTTATACACTTAAAGTATTAATATTTTTGATTCTCTAGAAATTGTTTAGAATATACCTTACTTAGCAAAACAACGTTTGCCGGGTCAGCTAGTATATATAAATTAAATGTCTCCAAAAAAGAAATAGTAATATTGTATTATTTGCAATTATGCTAATTATCGTTTAAAATCTTGTTAATATGCAGACTGAATTTTTGTTCAAAGTCTTTTCTGAACAAGTATTTATATTTAGAACAGAACTAATAATTTTTATTCAAAACTGATAATTGTTGGTCAGCCTGCATTCTGTATTCGTATCCGCTATTTCTTTAAACTTGTACATAAACGTTGATCTGTACTACGGTATAAGTTCAATTGTACAGTGAAAGCATTGAGATATTTCATTTTATCCTCAATTTTGAAAATGGATATGTGTAGAGAAGATGTTATTCTTCTAATTAAACTGTATCAAAAATATTATGGAATCCTAAAAATTTCAAATGTATCAAATTGCTCGCAGTGTGCGTCGCGCACGAGACCAACGCATGCGAGCGTTGCGAACAGGATTCGCCACACAGATTCGTGCAGTAGGTCGCGGCATAATATTGTCTAGGATTTTGTGTTTAGACCATAGACCATAGGAAGTTGTCTCCGAACAAATGTATATTACATATTACCCTGTTTTGGAAAGGACTACTATTTTTAGCGACAAAAAGATGTCGCTACTAGTTTCAAAATATGAACGTCAAAATTACTCGCTTAGATTTGCACGCCATCGCCATTTTGTATCAAAGTTTGTGGTTTGCATGTTGTTTTGTTGTTTCTGTAATTAATTGTATTCAAGTAAGCATTTATGTGAAATTTAATATGGCATAATGTAACGCACCAACTTGTGATAACTTCAGAAATAATATAAAAATGCACTTCTTTCCGGCTTTATGAAGTGAACAAATTAGAAATGTCCAATTATATTTCACAGAATATTTCTCACGTCTATAGTTCGCAGTGATATAAGAAGAGAAAGACAATCTGATATATGACCAGGAGAACACTCTGCAACTCCAGTGGAAAGGGTAATAATAATTCTAAATATTTTAATACTATTTGCTATTACGACTTGATATTATATTACAACATGTTATGTTTATTAGATGTTCTTGGGAATACAAATTGCAGTAGAATCTAGTGACTAAGGATAGGAGTGTCACATCCATTATATGTTGAGGGAGTTAAGAAGGATAGACAAAGAATGCAATAATTTTAGGGTTAAATTGCAATAGAGTATAAAATGCTCAGATATATTTTTAACATTCCAGCCGAAAGGACTGCTGCACTGTTCTATTGACACAATCGAATCATAAGACATTCAAGATTTTGTAGAATGCATCTTTATTAATGATTGATTGGAAAGCAAAATACCTATCAAATGCAAAGTTAATGTTAAAGAAGAATGACTCATAAATGAATTTTAATTCTTGGAATTTAGTTTTTTATCAATTTTGATATCAATATATATATTTTATGTCTGTAGGAATTAACTTTTTAAATTTGTTCATTATTTGTCGTTCTATTGATCGTTCCTTTTTAAGTTTAACATTTTATTGTAAATGCTTCTACACAATCTTTGTAGTTGTTATATATTATTGATCATTAAGTAATTCATATTGATTGTTCCTTTTAAGTTTAAGATTTTATTGTATAAGCTTCTACACAATCTCTGTCTAGTTGTTATATATTATTGATCATTAAGTAATTCATATTGATCGTTCCTTTTAAGTTTAACATTTTATTGTAAATGCTTCTACACCATCTCTGTGTAGCTGTTATATATTATTGATCATTAAGTAATTCATATTGATCGTTCCTTTTAGGTTTAACATTTTATTGTAAATGCTTCTCAACAATCTCTGTCTAGTTGTTATATATTATTGATCATTAAGTAATTCATGTTGATCGTTCCTTTTAAGTTTAACATTTTATTGTAAATGCTTCTACACAATCTCTGTCTAGTTGTTATATATTATTGATCATTCAGTAATTCATATTGATCGTTCCTTGTAAATTTATCATACCATTGTGAATACTTTTTTTAGTTACCTATAATTGTAAAATTATAATACTTATTATTATGTATATGTTGATTATTACATTTATAAAAATTTTAATTGTTATTTAAAAATGTTTGTGATATATTTGAAAATATATTTTGTACTTCGTATGTTTTTTTTTCAATTCCAATATAAGAAATTATTTAGGTTTTCTTATTCTGAATTACGTATGCGAACCATATCTAGGAATAATACCAGCGGTTGATTTATATACTGAACAAGGGCTGCCTCCTTCAGATCGCTAACAATATTAAAATGGAGGTAATGTCATTTATGTTTACTTCTAGCGATCTATTTATGTTTACTTATCTATGCCATAGACCTACGTATACTCATGGGGAGTTATCTCCGAACAAATGTATATTACCCTGTTTTGGAAAGGACTACTATTTGTAGCGAAAAAAAGATGTCGCTACTAGTTTCAAAATGTGATGGTTTCAAATGTCAAAATTACTCGCTTAGATTTGCCATTCGCCATTTTGTATCAAAGTTTGTGGTTCGATGCTGTTTCTGTAATTAATTGTATGCAAGTAAGCATTTATGTGAAATTTAATATGGCAAAACGTAACCCACCAACTTGTGGTAACTTCAGAAATAATATAAAAATGCACTCTTTCTGGCTTTATGAAGTGAACAAATTTTTCTCATGTCTATAATGACCAGGAGAATACTGCAACTCCAGTGGAAAAGGTAATAATAATTCTGAATATTTTAATACCAGTTTAGTTTAGATCGTCGAGCAGGTAAGATCGAAGAAACAAATAATAGTGAGTGATATACATTGTATACAATGGATTCGGGCCCGTACGGGGAAAACGGTAGATTGTTATCGCAAGATAACAATGGGAGTGACATAATAGTGCATAATACGGGTGCGAGCATTGCAAATGCAATGAATGCATCCATTTCAGATGGCCTTGTGTCATCGCTAAAATGTAGTGAAAATAGTGCAATTAAAGAAATTATTAATAATAAACAAGAAATTGATTTTTGTAATAAAGCATTAAGTGTAAAAAAGAGTATCGGAAATAAAAGTAAAGTTATTAAAAACGCTAAATCAGACGGAAAGAAGAAAGCTAACTCAAAAATATTAAAAAACTCGATTAAAACAACAGAAAATGTTAAAATAATAAATAATTATAATGAATTTATCTCGAAGAAAAAGGTTAAAAATTGGCATGAATGTATGGAAGCAGACACAGATGAAGAATCAAATTCTATGAACGATAGTGATGAATTAAATCAAAATTCTAATTTAAATGAAATTGATAATGAAATAGTGAATAAAATAAATACGAGTAATATGGAGCAATGTGAACAATTGTCTGAAAATAATCAGAATGCTGCTAGTATTCAAGAAAAAGTTACGATAATTTCCCCAAATAAATATAAAAATTTAAAATACTCCGAAAATGATATCGGACCATATTCCATTTATGTGGAATCCATGAACAGTATCAGTGGTAACTTAAAACAAATGACAATAGGAAGACTAATTTTTAAAAAATTTCCTCAATTTACAAATTCAATATTAGACATTAAAGCAATAGGAAGGAATCGCATAAAAATAACGGTTAATGACTACACAATAGCCAACTACTTAATTAACAATGATATATTTATTGAAAATAATTTAAAAACTTTTATACCAACACACTTGCTAATTAGGAAAGGGGTCATTTATGATGTAGACTCTGACCTAACAGAGGAAGAAATTATTACCAATTTATACTCGGAAGTACCCATTTTGGAGGTAAAAAGAATTCATAAAAAAATTGATAATGAACGCAAATCAACACGGGTTTGCATTGTAACATTTAGAGGACAGAAACTGCCTGAGAAGGTATCAATATTTGCAGTAAAATGCAGGGTAGCTACCTATAACAGAATGATCCAGTGTTTTAACTGTCAAAGGTATGGTCACGTGACTAACCAATGTAAAAGCAAAGCAAGATGCAGTCATTGTTCAGAGGAACATAAATATAAAGAATGTACAAACAAACAAAAAAATCCGACTTGTGCTCTGTGTCAAGAGGATCATAAGGCCATGGATAAAACATGTCCTAAATATGAAGAACACTGCAAAATAAAAATGACAATGGAGGAAAATAACTTAAGTTACATGGAAGCTAAATATCTATTAAATAATAAATCATATGCAAATGCTGTGGGATTTGTTTCCGGAGACAAATCAACATTCCCGGATCTTCCGGCAAAACAAACGGAATGTCTTACGAAAACAAGTCCGACAGGAATAATTAATAATCGAACAATATCTGATCAAAAACAACCTAGAATTAATATTGCGACTAAGTCAACATCGAAAAATATCACTGAGCGAGAATCAAGAAAAGACTTCATAAGTAATGGGGAAATAAGAAGAGACAAAATAAACATATCAAATAGTAAAGTACAACAACAAATACCTCGTAAAAAGTCTGAGGAAGAAGAGTTTCCATTGGAAAAAATTATTTCAAACATAAAATTCAAATTTAGAGAGAAGAAAGGTGATGTTCTACAAATTCTGAAGGATATAGTCCAAGACATCGAAAGTAAAATAAATTCATCTACCAGAAACAATAAATGACATTGAAAATCCTTCAATATAATTGTAGATCATTAGTTGCTAATAAAGAAAGCATTGAATATTTCTTATGGGAAAAGAACATCGCCATAGCCGCTTTTTCTGAAACGTGGTTCAAGCCCGATGTAGAGTACAAATTCAAAGGATACAAAATATTCAGGAAAGACAGAAATGATGGATACGGCGGAACTGCTATATTAGTAAAAAATAATATAGAATGTGAAAAATATGAACTTATAAACCAAAATGAAAACATGCAAATATGCGCCGTGTTAATAAAAACAGAAATACCTTTTTGTTTAATTTCAGTATACTGTTCAACCAGAGCTGAGATAGAATTTTCTGAATTGAGAAACATAATAACAAATATCTCAGAAAAAATCCTTCTTGTAGGAGACTTCAATAGTCACCACTTGGCATGGGGAAGCAACATGACAAACAAAGCTGGGAAAAAATTATACGAAATGATAGAAGACTATTCATTAATAATTCTAAATGACGGTCAACCGACTACTATGAAAAAAAATCATTGTAATGCTACAAGTATAGATTTATCGTTTTGCTCGAACAATTTCATGGATGCTATCAAATGGGAAATAAGTACAGAAGCATTGGGTTCTGACCATCTTCCAATCATTATAAACATAGATGTGGAATTCCCAACTTACATAAATATTATCCCCACAAAAAAGTGGAACATTAAGAAAGCAAATTGGCAAGGATATGCTGAAGACATAACACGATTGTTACAATCGCCTATATTTAGGGAAAAGGAGAATTTTAAATACGAACATGTAATCCGAATTATAGAAATAGCGGCAGAAAAGAATATAAAAAAATTTAAGATCACAAAAAGAACGTTATTCAAACCCTCAGTGTGGTGGGATCAAGAATGCGACGCACTCATATCTAGCAGGAAAGAAGCATACCGCAAACTACGCATGCAATACAATTATGAAAACTACATCAACTTTCAAAAAACCAACGCTCTGACGAAAAGACTTTTAAAAAATAAAAAAAAGCAAAAATGGATTGAATTTATTAGCTCAATAAATAAAAATTCAAATCCTACTTTAATATGGAATAAGATTAAATTGCTAAATAATAAAAATAACATGATAAATACAGCAAAACCCATATCAGTAGACTTGGGACAAGATATTCTAAAAAACTTCACTCCAGATTTTGCAGTAAATAAACAAATAGAGACAGAATATAATTCAGATGAGAACAACGAATTAATTGCACCCTTTACTTTAAAAGAAATGGAGAAGGCGCTAAAAAAAAGAAAAAACTCTGCTCCAGGTTTTGACCAAATATATTATAAAATGATTAAAGAGTCTCCTATCAGCCTAAAGATCAAATTAATAAACATATTTAATGATATAGTTACAAACAATTGGATCCCTAAAGAATGGAGAAGTGTTATATTAGTACCTTTTCTTAAACCTAATAAAAATCCAACATTACCGATTTCCTATAGACCAATTTCATTACTTTCATGTGTTTTTAAAACTTTTGAAAGAATGTTGAAAGAACGTATAGAATGGTATGTAGAAAATAAACGAATTTTTAACGACGCGATGTTTGGATTCAGAGCAGGAATGGGAACTGTGGATTTACTGAGCACACTGACCAATGACATACACATATCAAACTCAATGAATCATTATTTATTATTAGTATAAATAGACATTGATAAAGCATATGACAATATAGACCATAATATACTGCATACAAAATTAAGAAATATAAATATTCCACAAAAACTAATTAACATAATTCTGACAACAATATCGCAAAGGCATGTATACTTAAGACAGGTTGACGGATTGATAGGACCAAGAGTTGCATGTAAAGGAATAGCTCAAGGCTCTATACTTAGTCCTGTATTATTTAACATTTACACCGCAGATTTTCATAATATTCTTCACACAAGCATTAAAACATTGCAATACGCAGACGATATCTATATATACATATCTAGACCGACTTCAACATCGTGTATAGCAGAAATGAATGATGGAATTAAAGACATTGAAAAATGGTTAATCCTAAATAATTTAAATATATCTCAGGACAAGTGTGCAGCTACAATATTCACAAGACATCGTTATCCTAGTAGTACAAATAATATAAAAATAAACAATAAAGAAATCACGATAAAAAATAAAATTAAAATTTTGGGCATAACATTTGATACAAAGATGACATTTAATCATCATATTCAGGAACTAAATGCAAAATGTGAAAAAGGGCTAAACATCATTCGTAAAGTAACCAGTACCAGATGGGGTGCTCACCCAGGAGCATGTCTGCTACTATATAAAAATATGATAAGGTCACAGCTAGATTACGGATGCTTCATTTATAGTGCTTTGAGGCAAAAAGAAAAATATCAACTAGACAAAATACAATATTCGGCCATTAGGACCTGTCTAGGAGCCATCCGCTCGACCCCAATTAACGCTCTACTGACGGAAGCAGGTGAAACGCCGCTAGATATAAGAAGACGATTATTGGCTAAAAGATTTTTAGTTAAAAAATTGAATAACGCTTGTCATAACATTCCAAGGCAACTAGAAGAATTGGCAAGATTACATATAACTAAACCATATTGGACAAACAGACCAACTCCTCCTTTAATAACGAGCTTTTATGACCTTAAACCGTTTGAGGAACATGTAAAACTTTGCGAAATCAAACCTTATTACCAATTTCCACAATATTATTCATATAAAAATACCTATGCCAAAACAGATGCTAACTTAATAGAAGAATCTATTAAAAATAATCAAATAAAGAATTGGGAATTTGAAAACAAAGTAAACTCAAAATGGCCCGACCATCTTCACATATATACTGATGGTTCAAAAACGGAAGATGGAACTGGTTGTGCAATATATATACCTAATCACAAATATAGGAAAAAAATTAAACTACCAAAGTTTGCCTCCATTTTTATAGCGGAGCTGATGGCATTACATGTAGCAACAAATTATGTTAGAGACAAAAATATAAATAAATCGATCATTTTCAGTGATAGCAAATCGAGTCTAATCGCAATAAACAATCCAAGCAAGCATACAAATATATTGATATATGAAATTATAAACATTCTCAAGGAAAGAAATGTAGGAGAAAAGTCAATGATTTTAGTATGGCTTAAAGGACACGCCAATATAAAAGGGAACGAAATAGTAGATGCGTTAGCAAAAGAAGCTTGCCATAGCGGCGAAGATTGTAATAAAATTCCATCCTTAGAATTAAATAACGTAATCAAACAACAGTGTGTTGAAAGATGGCAAACATTCAGAATCGACAAGAATAAAAGGTATCACATACGCATTAACAAAGAATAAGGTATCGCAAAATACTTGGTTTGAAAACGTGGAAGAAAGTAGAATTTTCATCTCGATCATCTGTAGACTGAGGTTTGGACACACCTTCTGCAAGAGCCACTTGAAAAGAATTAGAATCATAACGGACTCAGCATGCGATTGCGGAAGCGGAGAGGAAACAATAGACCACCTGTTTTGGGAATGCAACTTATTCCAAAACGAAAGAAGAACATTAATATTAAACTTAGTTAAAGAAAATGTTATTTTCCCAATTAATGTACAATCATTAGTAGCTAGTAATAATTTAAAAATTTATAAATATATATTTAATTTTATTAATAATACTAAAATTAATCTATAAGTTGATGATACAATAAGAATGTATATTAAACAACTGTAAGAATGGCATCTGGCCTTATGATGTACATCAAAAGCCAATAAATAAAAAAAAAAAAAAAAGAAAAATATTTTAATACCATTTGCTATTACGACTTGATATTATATTACAACATGTTATGTTTATTAGATGTTCTTGGGCATACAAATTGCAGCAGAATCTAGTGACTGAGGATAGGAGTGTCTTGATGCCGAGGGCATGGGGAGTTATCTCTGAACAAATGTATATTACTCTGTTTTGGAAAGGACTACTATTTTTAGTGAAAAAAAGATGTTGCTACTAAATATGTAAAACGTCAAAATGGATTGCTTAGATTTGCCATTCGCCATTTTGTATTAAAGTTTGCGGTTTGCATGTTGTTTCCGTAATTAATTATATTCAAGTAAGCATTTAAGACAATCTGATATATGACCAGGAGAATACTGCAACTCCAGTGGAAAGGGTAATAATAATTCTGAATATTTTAATACTGTTTGCTATTACGACTTGATATTATATTACAACATGTTATGTTTATTAGATATTCTTGGGAATACAAATTGCAGCAGAATCTAGTGACTAAGGATAGGAGTGTCTTCATTCCGAGGGCATGTAAAATGTATGACACATCCATTATATGTTGAGGGAGTTAAGAAGGATAGACAAACAATGCAATAATTTAAGGTATAAATTGCAACAGAGTATAAAATGCTCAGAAATATTCTTAACATTCCAGCCGAAAGGACTGCTGCACTGTTCTATTGACACAATCGAATCATAAGAAATTCAAGATATTGTAGAATGCAACTTTTTTAATGATTGATTGGAAAGCAAAATAACTATCAAATGCAAAGTTAATGTTAAAGAAGCATGACTCATAAATGAATTTTAATTCTTGGAATTTAGTTTTCTATCAATTTTGATATCAATATATATATTTTATGTCTGTAGGATTTAACTTTTTAAATTTGTTCATTATTTGTCATTTCTTCTAATTATACTATTCCATTATCTTTAGTATATACTCTATATACTACATACTTAGACTCTATACTTTTTTCTTCTCTTTTTAATATATTAATATTAGTCATTAAGAAATTAATATTAGTCAGTTCGTGTAAATTCATTATACTTATGAAAACTTTTACAATATTTCTGTGTAGTTGTTATATATTATTGATCATTCAATAATTCATATTGATTGTTCCTTGTAAATTTATCATACCATTGTGAATACTTTTTTTAGTTACTTATAGTTGTAAAATTATAATACTTATTATTATGTA